TAGATGATAGATGTTCAACCTCGAGTTATTGCACCTTTGTTAGAGGGCAGTTTGTTATGTGGAGAAGCAAGAAACAAGTTGTTGCTAGGTTTAGTGCAGATTGCAGAAGCAGAATATAGTGCTATGTAACATGGAGTTATTGAACATTTGTGGCTTCAAACTCTACTGAAAAACTTGGGGTTGGTGTGTGATGATCCTATGAAACTATACTGTGATAATAAGGCTGCTATCGATATTGCTTATAATCCTATTCAACATGATCGAACCAAACATGTTGAGATTGATGATCATTTCATTAAGGAAAAGTTGGATACAGGTCTGATTTGTACGTCGTTTGAGAAATCTAGAGATCAACTTGCGGTGTTTTCATTCTCTTGTATTCAAGTTAGGCATGAGAGACATATATGAACTAACTTGAGGGGGAATATTAGTTTATGAATATTCATTACCTCTATTTGCTTAAGCACTGGCATAACCGCAACTAGAAAAAGGGCAAATCTAAACCAAACAAAGAAAGTAACTAAATAAGCAGTGAGAAGATATGGGACCTAAAGAATAGGGGAATGCAAAAAAAGTAATAAGAGAGGTGCACAGACCAATCAATTGTATTGGTCGTATTCTTGAATTTGGAATGAAAACAGAATTAATGCTTCCTAGCACGTGACACAAAATAAGATCACTTAGATTAGAAAAGCATTCATAGAAATGTTCTTTACGTTATTTCATTAATGGCACTCTTGTAATTTCTCAAACTATTTAAAATAAATACCTAGGTCTAGGGATGAGAAAATCATCTCATTCTACAACCATATTTTTGTCTTGCATTATCCTCTCTCCATCTCTCTTTTTCTTCTCTTTTCTACTTCTAAATTAAGCACAAAAGCCGGGCCAGAGTGAAATGGTGGTGGGATGACAAGGGAGAGTGGCGAGAAAGAGAGATATAGCGATGGTGGTGGAATAATCGCGATGGTGCTAGTGTTCTACTATACAAAATACCGTTGATAGGGTGATGGTAGAGATGATGTTGACCATTGTCAATAATGGACGGGAAGGTTTAGGTTCATCTAGGGGATCCATTCGTTTGAAAATGATGACAGGTAAAGAAAAGGAGAGAGAGAGGAAGGATGGTTAAAGAAAGAAAGTAAATGAATTGTTAAGGGCAAATTACAAATACCCCCTTGAGGTTTGCCTAAAATACTTTTGATTCCCTATGATCTTGGAAATTACATTCCCCCCCAGAGGCTTATATTCACATAACAAATTACACTTTCTGTTGATAGTCGGGTGGAGAAGAATGATTCATGCTGACCCCATTTGATGGGAGTTAAGGGTTGGTTCGGTTTGGTTTAACAAATTACACTTTCCGTTAGTCCACCGTTAGTTGACCTAACGATTCATGTTAATATGAACAATACAATTTTATAAAGTACTCACTTTACCCTTGTAACACAAACAAAATAACCCCTCATATTCTGCTTGTTCTTAGCAGCCAACCCTACTATCCACCCTCGCCTCACCCCAAACCCACCCCTACCTCTTATTCAACCATCCTAGCTTCGCCTACCACACCCAACCCCCTTCCCTAGAAGCACAACAATAAATATATATATATTTTTTAATTTTCTATGTAGATTAATATTACATCTACAAACAATCAAAATTAAATCACTTATGTCTTTTTTTAAGATGATATATTAATTATTTAAATTTAAGCAAAAGCAATAAACATTCAACATCCAATATGCATCAAAAGCACAAAAGAAAGGGGGATAGCAAATTAGTTGGCGTGTCCCTAGAGTGTCCCCTGGGAAAAAAAAAATTCAAATGAAAGGACACGCCACATGGTGAGTCTTATACGTGTACCCGTCGTTTCCTCATGTCCAACACAGCTACGGCACATATTTTGGAGTGTTAGTGCCTCATAGGCCACTCCCCACCCTCTCCCACCACTTCTCGATCCCTTTCCACTCCTTTCACATACTCAATCGTCACTCCTCCACCTTCCCTCACCATACCACAACAAAACCGATATTGGCTTGGACACTGTGCCATACGATACGATATGGATACGGTGATATGACAAAATCTAAAAAAATAAGATATGGGTACGGCTAGGATATGTTTGTGAAAAATATAGTTTTTAAAATTATTAATAATGACACATAAGCCAAAAATCGTTGAGAAATCACAATGTAATTTTATAATGCAAAATACTAACCTTTAAGAATTAGGTATTAATTTATGCTAGTAGCTTGTTTACCTTTTAAATTTTCAATAGGTCTTGCAAATATTTCATTTCAATATGAAGTCTAATATGTTTATATTACAATAATAGAACAATCCACAAATTATTCCTGTGCTTTTTCCCTTTGGCACTAGTAAAAAGTGTTTGTATTCAAGTTTATTTACTCATTTATTTATTGATATTTCATTTTATTATTATTATATCCTCTTGTTAATCTATGTAGTCATATGGGATATGCATGAAACAATTAGGATACATCAATTTGATAAACTCTATTATTTAAAGCACTATGTTCTTATCATCAAAAAACTAAACAAAGTATTAAAAATATATTTTTATATTTATTCTTGCGATTATATTATATTATGTTACTATGCAAGAAATGCTACAATTCTAATTTCATAAAAATAGCCATACATGACTTGGAGTATTTGATACTTCAAAATTAAGTATTTGATACTCCAAAATTAATGAAAAATTAATTGAGAAATATCCGATACTTTTAATAAGTGTCTGATACATACCTGAGAGTATCCAAAGAGCATTGATATACAATACAGATACGTCACCCTATTTGAAGTATTTGTGCTTCATAGGGTGACGGTCATTGCGTGGGAGAGGAGTGTGATTGTCCAGTGATGCTCATTGCATTGAAGAAGGGTACAACTGTCCACCTCCACCTCCCACCACTAGGTCGATAGAGGATGTGTTTTGAGCTTATCACAAATGTGGTGGATCGATGATGAGATTTTGTAGGTGATGAGGTTGCTGATGACGGTGGATGAAAGCAAATTGAGGCGAACAATGATGAGTGTTATGGTGGTGGATGAGGGCCACATGTTTGATGAAAGTTGCAAGTGACGTTATAAATACCACTTGCTTGTCCACTAAACCAACCACGACCTAACTCTCTCTCTCTCTCTCGGAATTCGACGTGGATTCTTGGTGGCGGTAGTGTTATGGCAATGGGTGCATTGGCATGGATGTGGTCTTTCTCTCTCTAACTGCGATTTTGGGTCTATGATTGATTGTTGTTGGGGACAATGATTGAGAGAGGAGGAGGTATGTAGTGGAGAAGGGGGGGTGGGCGGCATGACAAGGGATTGCTAATGGTCGCGGTGGTAGGAGGTGGCAATGAGAGTTGATAACACACTCTGGGAGATTGGATGAGTGAGAAAGAAAGGTGTAACAAGGTAACTTTGCTTTAGTATAATTTTGTTACTATTGTTAACTTCTCTAGTTGTTATTTCATTGAATTCGCTTCACTAATAGGTTCACAATTCGACTTTCATTGTTATGGATTGGTACCAAGATTGAGTCCTGGACAAGTCAACATTTTCTAAGGTGCGAGAGGGCAATGACATTTCATGTAATAAAGAAGGTCAGGTTATCTAAGAGGAGTTCAGGTTGTCACTATAATGTATCCAAAGATAGAGTTTTGAAATCGGTGGAAACTTTTTGACATTGGTAAAAATTGTCTCATATTCTTGTTTAGGATAAAATTTCAAGTTTTAAATAACAAGGCCATCTCCAATCCTTACTAATACTTTTACTCAAATTAAATTGAGGTTTCATTTCATATGAAGCACTCTAATGGGTAAATTCAAAATTGGGGAAAAAATTGATGACGCTAGGAGTTTGGAGTAAAGAAGAATTTGAAATTATTTGGGTAGAAGCACCTTTGTGTCAAAGTTTTGATTGGATAAAAATTTGGATAAATGAATGGGACTCCGTTGATTTGAATAAAACTCAATTTGCTCAAAATGCAGTTTGAGTGGATATTGAAGGGTTGGACATGGCCAAAGAATTAGTAAAGTTGTTATGAATAATAAGATTTTCTGCAATATCAATTTTTAATCTAAAAAGTCAAAAATTCTCATTTTTCTCTACTTTTTACACGTTTTTTCATAAAAAATTAAAAAGTCAATCTAAATATACTAGTTTTTTTACATCATATTTTAGCTAAAAAAAAAAAAAAAACAAAAAAAAAAAAAACTAATTAATGTGTTTGGTTTTAGTTTTCTGGACTAAGTTTTTTGGTTTTCGTATTTTTTTATTTTTAGTGAATATTTTTAAAATTTTAAACATTTTTTTTTACTTTTGTAGATATACCTTACTTAGATGTATCTAAAAAGTAAAAAATTTATGAAAAAATATTTTAAAAAATTAATAAATATAAAAAAATACAAAAAATTACTAAATTCTTGTATTTTTTTTTGTATTTTTGATATTTTTTGAATTTTTAAAAAGTTTTTTTTACATTTTTTTTTAGTTTTTAGGTGTCTTTATGTTAAGGCCAAGTTTGGCATAATTAAAAAAAGACAAAAAGTCAAAAAGTCACTATCCTATTTAAGTAACATCATCTTATTTAAGTCACATCACTTCTCTAACACATCACTTCAAACCCAACCCAAACTCAACCCATATTTCATAAAAAGTCAAAAAGTGCACTTATTTAGTCTTCCCAAACTAGGCCTAAGTGTGTCTAAAAAGTAAAAAATTATTTAAAATATTAAAAAAATTCAGTAAAAATAAAAAAATAAGAAAAATAAGAAAGTAAAATTTTCTGAGAAGCGTTTTTTTGAAAAATGAAACAAGGAAGGTGAAAACCTGTTCCAAACGAGGCCTAAGTCAAACAAAGACAGCCTTGTTAAAATTGGAAATGGAAAAGGAAAATCAGTAAAACATTACTTGATGAGTAATATAGCAAGCAAACCAAAGGGAGAGAGAGAGAGAGAGGGTCTAAAATACGCACCACCAGTAGGCCGGTTCAATCAAGCTGATGTTGGAGACGCGAACATTACGGCAACGGAGGAAGCCAACGAGTCTGGGCCTGCACTCATCTCCGAAGCATGCCCCAGTCCGATTCCAACTCACCATCACGTTCTTCCTCTCATCGAACCTCTCCACGAACTTCAACCCCTGGCCGTTGATCTCCCCTCCACCGGTGATCCCCACATCGTCGGCGTCCTCGGCCAGCACCACGTACCACCTGGTAGACGACTCGGCTGGATAGTCCTCCAACTTGGTTCCCCCTAATATCTTGGCGCCTCTATGAAGATCCAAAACAACCCCAGATTTGAGAAAGAGAGTAGAGGTTAGATAGGTTCCGGGAGGAAAGAAGACGCGGCAGACTCCGGGAGCGGAGGAGCAGGCGTCGATGGCGGCCTGGATGTGGAGGGTGTCGTAGTGGACGCCATCGCCCACGGCGCCGTAGTCGCTCACAGAGACTGATTGGGTAGCTGCTGGGGTTGGTGTTGGTGTTGGTGTTGGTGTTGGTGTTTCGAATAGAGAGGAGAAGAAGATGAAAACCGCACCTAATAATTGGCTTCTCATCATCTGCTCAACGGCGGAGGCTGTGCTGTGTAGTGTACAATTGTGTGAAATGGGTCTTTGCGTGCGTGGTGTTTCTTTCTTTTACCTCATTGGCGCTTTTCCGTTGCTTTTAAGTTTGGTCCACCATCTATCTCCGAAGAAAGGGGGTATTTGGAGTGGATTCTGTAAGTTATAAATTGAAAATTAAAAAGTTGGAGATAAAAGTATTTTTTTCTTAATTTTTAAATAATTAATTTTTTAAAAACTTATTTAAGTTATTTCTGTTTAAAAATTTATAAATAAAAATTATATCAAACAGCCTAGTATAAATTTTCAAATTAAAATAACTTATAATCCACAACAAAGACTTCCAGTGTAATCTACATTTATAGTTAAGATGGTTAAAAGTAATAATAAATAAATAAATTATTATATATGTTATAATTAAATCATTATTTTTATTATTAATTTTTGGATAAATTATAATTTGACTTAATTTTCATCAAGTCTTATTTAAAATCGTTGTTAAAAATAATTTTTTGTAACTTTTTTACACGTGTCACTAAAAATTAACAATTAGTGATTTTTTTATTACGATTTTTATAAATTGTCGTTAAAATTTACAATTAATGACATTGTTTTATAATAAAATTTTTAAAATGTCGTTAAAACTTATAATTAGTAATATGTTTGCGACAAAATTTTTAAACTTTAGCTAAAAATTAAAAATAAATAATTTTTTAATAATATTTAATAAAAATATCATTAATTGTTATAAAATCTATTAAATAATATATTCACCTATTAAAACTCAGGAAAATGATTTAGAGCCCTAAAATTTTCCCCCCTAATCCTCCTAATTTCTATTTTGGGCAACTTTTTTCTCTTTTTTTTTTTTTTTTTTTACTTGATATAGAAATTATGGGGATTAGGGGGGAAAATTTTAGGGGATGTAGCAAGACCCTAAAACTCATACGTAACCCCTATTATGTTTTAGGAAAGTTAAGATGCATAGTTAGATGCTGCTTTGGCAATGATATGTACTTTATGCACAACCTGCCTGGCCATAGTTTTTTTTTTTTTTTGATCGGCAAAGAAAATCTTTATTGATGAAAACATACAAGGTATGAAATATTACATCAATAAAGAGGAGCTTGGAGCTAAGAAAAAGCTCCCAGCGCCAGTTGGTAAAGAACCAACAAAAGAGAGCAAAAGAAAAGACATACTGATAGATAAACTAGTCTATAACTTGGAGCTAAGAAGCCAAACTGATAGGAGCCAAAACTGATAGTAGCAGCCAAACTGATAGTAAAACTGATGAGCAACGACTTTTCCCCACTTTGACAAGCTTTGCTTTCATTAATCAATTGAAACATTGGAGCCACAGCAGAAGTCGAACACCATGACTGAGATAGCCTTCCCAAACAATTCAGCCCTTAATCCATTTGCATTCCAGATGAACACAGAAGCAGAACAACCAAGCAGCCTTCCTATTTCTGATCAAAACAACAATTCAGCCTACCCCTATTTGATCATAACAGCTAATCAGCAAAGCTACAACAACCAGCAGAGGTAAAATAACACATACAACAGAGGTCAACCAGCAGACAACCAGCAGAGCAGATACAACAGAGCATGCAAAAAAAAAACACCCGATCATAGCAGCCAATCAACAAAGCTCAACCAGCTTGACAAATCAACCACACTCCTGTCGCCATTCAGAAAAATGGCAGGTAACAGATAATCAATGGCAGCCCCTTATTTGCCTCCAATTCATAACAATATCATTAACAGAGTAGGCGAAGTTCTTGAGGGAGGCTTTAAGCCAAAATGCTAATATGTAACAAAATATATTTAATATTCCACTCCAAAGCCTTGGCCTTTTTGATTTGCAGGACTAACAAAGGACTATCTGTGAGAATTGTGGCCATCCTTACATTGCTAATCTTACATCATTTTAGCACCTCAAGGCAGGCTTTAGCTTCAGCCATCATAGCTGAAGTTGCAAAAAAGAAAAGAAAAATTCTTTTGAGCAATCTGGTTTCCCCTGTTATCTATAGCAATCCAAGCAGCACATGCTCTTGTTGAGTTCAGCATCCAAGCACCATCAATAATAAACCTGTCAAAACAAAGATTAGGACACCAAGTCAAAATGTTATTGAAAATATGAGTAGCCCATGAAGAATCTTGACCTATACCCATATCCGTATCAACTTGTTCATTAATAATCTCTGAAACAAGTTTACCACATTCCTAATTCAATTGATTAATTGTGGTTATAGTCTATGACGGCTCTAGAAAGGGCAAGACCACTCGAGTGGTGAAGTTACCGCTTGAGCGCAGGTTAGATCGCTCGAGCACTCTATTCGGACTCAGCTAATTAGAAATCATTTTTCACTCCACTTTTTCTTTTCCCCACTTCCTCTCTTCCCTATTTTCGAAAAACCCTAACCCAAAACTCTTGATTTCATCCTTTTCTACTAAAGATTCATCTTAGATCTTCCAAGATTAGTGAAGAGCAAGCTTAGATCAAGATTTTCACTGATTGGTTTGCTTACACTTTCATCTCTTTGTCTTCATTCTTGAGGTAAGGTTACTTTTAACTTGTTATATCTATGATTTGAGGTATATATATATATATATATGGTATTTTCTTAGTTATAGTGATGTATGAGATGATTTTGTTATAGAAAATGAGTTTGATGAACAAAAAGGGGCTTAAACCTAATTTTTTAGGATGATTATTAATATTTCTTGTTGATTATAGATGTTGATGATGAATATTGGTTCTTAAAGTGAAAAAGAGGGAAAAGCCCCAAATTTCTCAAAACCCTAGTTTTAAACTTAATTTGATAATGGGGTTTAGTTCAGTTGACTCTTAAACCTTGAAATTGGGTAGATGATTGTTACAAATGTGTTGAGTTTATTGCCAGATGAATGTAAGAAAAGGTTTTTGGGTGTCCACGAGCTTGCCATTCCACGAGTCAACAAATGTGGAAAGGAAAGGTTTTTGGTGCCCATCACTTCGCTGTTTTTAGAGGTGGCAAAAGTGGAAATATTTTTAATAAATAAATCTATATATGTATGTATGGTTTTACGGCTCTTGCTTGGTACATCATAGCATATTTACTATCCCATTGTAGTGGATGAGATTTTAAATGGAAATCATGCATTGAGCATTAAAAATTTTGAAAGGAAAAATGTAGATTTTATATTAACACGTGCATAGCATGATCATATGCATTTTGATCATTTATATACTCTGTTAATAGTATTGCTATTGGGCATTAGCTCACCCCAAACTAACAATATTTCAGGAATTGATGGTGTGACTTTGCCTAAGTGACTTGGCGGTGGAAGTGTTTTGAATGGAGCATGAAATTTCAATGGATGTTATTTGTTGAAGATTCGAAGCTATTTTGTGGTTTGGGACTAAATGTCCATTTTGTGTAGTCAAGGGCCATCATTGAAATTTGTATGCCATTAGGGGACCGGACTTTTGTACTTCTCTTGCTCTTTGAACTATTTTTTTTATTATTAGTATTAGATGTATTAGAACTACAATGTATTTATCGTTTCAAATTATCTTAGCCAAATTATGGTATACTTTAATAATATTTCTAGAAATGGCTGATGTATATTAAATGTTTTAAACTACAAAAAAAAGGGATTAAATTTTAGGGGTGTTACAACTTAGTATCATAGCTAATCAGATTTGAATACCTTAAGTTTATGGGATGTGGCTTTGCCACAATGGGTTTATCATGCTAGGATGGGACATTAATTGTCTTGCATGCTTTATGTGTTTATGTGACTATGTGAGTGTGTGATTAAGTTTCTAGGATACAACTTGAATCTATTGCTCATGAGAACCTTTGTATGCCCAGACTTTTGGAAGGAGGGGATGTTAACCTAATCTTCCCACTCGCTTGGATAAGAAAAGACCTTTACAGCTGGAAAAAGAGAAACAAAGTAAGAACATCAGCGCAAATACCACAAAAAACAAATTCATATGTAGGAAAAATGAGAGCATTAACCTGGCTGGCTGAGGACTTTAGGGATAGATTGAACTCTATCAACGCTAGGAGGGAACCCCCAGTTATCCTCCACTATTAACTATGTCATCGACACCCTGGCCAAAATCAGGAAGAATTTGAACAAACTAGCGCTTCGCCAATCTGGGCTTGAAATAGAACTTCACCATCTCTCTAGTAGTAGGGACAAAATCATAACAATATCTAATCTGTTAATCATGTTATTTAACTAGTGTATAATATTGAGATTAATCTTCTCTTGTCCAATCTTTTATGTAGTACATGGAAAATTTATTCACAAAATAATTTTGGAGAAAATTGTTCCTTTCTTATAGCATCACTATTATTCTTACCTAAGTTATCAATCTTTCTTGTTCTAATTGAAGAGGTTGGTCTCATTTGAACTTTGGCTAAAATTAGAAAATAATATAATATCAGTGATTGTAATATTAACAAACCATCTCTAATGTTTAAAAAGAAAAGGTATGGAAAGAAAAATCGTACACTACTGCTCACACCCATTGTGCAAAATTGAAGTGTATCAAAGCCCAAAGTGTAGCAGGAAAAATGTATCAATTAGTTAAGTAAAATATATGATTAGCAAACTCATGAACATATTACACTTAAGTCTCAGTGATATTACAATATTAGTTACTCATTTCACTTTCCTAAGCTTAAGTCTCAGACTCCTCATATTACAATTCTCTCTTGCTGAAGCTTAATTAATAAACTAATTACAGAGAAAGAGAAGAAAAAAAAATAGAGACTAAACCTTAATCAACAAAACCACCTCTCTTTGAGCAATCAACTAACCCTCCAATCAAGCATATATGTTTATGGATTACACCGATCTCAAAACATCAAGCACTATTTATAATAATTGCAAAAACAAAAATCATCAAGCACTAATTGAAAAGGTTTTAAACACATTATTAGATTTTAGGTCTTAAAACACATCATCAGGCACTAATGTTTATAAATGCCTCCCTACATCATCAAGCAGTAATGATTCAGCAAATATATTTAATTTCTAACATTGAGTAGTCTTTTAGAGACATGAAATTCAGCACTTACGTAGACAATTTTCAAGAGGCAATTTGTCTCACACCATT